CCTCTGCTCTAAAAGCTGCCATGAACTGCAATGTGATTGGATAATTGTGTTTAACGAGCAGTTGAACAGGTATACGTAATAAATGGCCAATGAATGTACAAAAAGTAGCTTCAATTTTACCCGAAGCAGAAGTTAAACCCTGCTAACAAAGGCTACTGATGCATCAGCAGTCAGTAATGTGAAGTGAGATAGTGGTCTAGACATTCAGCATGTCACTCTGTGTATATTGCTAGAAAAAAAATACAGAGGAGGCGGTAAATAATATTGTAAAATTTAATTTCATGGCATTAATATAATGTGTGTGAGCAGACAAGCTATCAAAATCAAAACAGAAAAAGAATATATTTTACACAAATGAAATAAGCGCCAGCAGCGTCACAACCACTTTTGAGATGACTGAAGGAGGAGGAGAGAAGCCCAAAAACAGGACTGCTGATACAGATCAAACAGGATTGGAAACCCAGACCTCCAAGTGTGTTGCATTAACTGTCAAACAGGCAGATGACTAGGCTTATAAGGTGTCAGGAAAGGCTATTCTGCTACGCCGTCGGGGTTAACTGTGGCAGCTGCTTAGGTGGTACCTTCAGTCCTGTTTTTGCACTTGAATGTAGCAGACTGTTCCTGGGTCAGATTACAACTTGAAATCAATTCAAACACTTCTCTCTGAGATTGATCGTTAGTGGCATAAAGGAACTGCTTCCACTGATTTCTAAAAAGTGCAGATTCAGACAACGTTGCATCCCGAGCAGATGGAAGCATGTCAACACTGTCGATTTCAATTAATAACTGACCCAGGTAAGGAGGGGACCGTTGCAATGGGTTACAGGTTCTGACAGCACTGCAGTTTGCTTCCTCTCTGGCCATCTGTGGTCGGCGGCACACTGATGTCCACCACGTTGTTTCCCGGGGACTCGTCATGGGCAGACCGCTCGGCAATCTGCTTCTGCGATACGATGCGGTAAATTTCTGTTTTTCGAAAAGATGAAATGAAAAACATCAGCTTTCTCTCTCAGTCTAAAAGCTTGCATAATTTACCTTTAGAACCACTAATGTGGGATGTGAGGAGGTAGTTTTACAGCTCCTCACTCGGTACCCGACTAATACAGTTTATTATTAAAAAAAAACAAAACAACTTTATAAAGAATAAAAAAGTTAAGCTACCAAAACGAACTATCCTCTCTGAATCTACTGCATATCAACCAAAGGTTTCATGCCTCATTGTGTGTGTGATTTGATCTTTTTTTAATATTCTAGTGATGTGTGGAGCTCTGGCATTCAACCTCCATTCACAAGCACACCTACCTGTAAGGATATTTTTGAAGGCTTCTTCAACATTTGTTGAGTCCAAGGCTGAAGTTTCTATGAAAGACAGATTGTTCTTTTCTGGGGAATGGGAAAGAAAACAGATTTAGTAAGAGTGAAACATCACTGTACCAATAACCTTTCTGCAGCAGTACCTGCAAAGGCGCGGGCTTCGTCTGTGGGCACGGCTCTGAGGTGGCGCAGATCACTCTTGTTGCCAACCAGCATGATGACGATGTTGTTGTCGGCGTGGTCTCGCAGCTCCTTCAGCCAGCGTTCCACATTTTCATATGTCAGGTGTTTGGCTATGTCATACACTAGCAGCGCTCCCACCGCTCCTCTGTAGTATCTGTAACAGTACCCAACATGGATGTTAAGAGTGAATTCCCTTCGTTGATTGCAATGCAGAGGCGACGTGCAGATGCATGTGCACAACGCTACATCGGACTCACGCTGAGGTGATGGCCCTGTAGCGCTCCTGTCCTGCTGTATCCCAGATCTGAGCCTTTATCGTCTTGCCGTCCACCTGGATGCTGCGCGTGGCGAACTCCACCCCAATGGTGCTCTTGCTCTCGAGGTTGAACTCATTTCGTGTGAATCGAGAGAGCAGGTTGCTCTTCCCCACACCCGAGTCTCCAATTAACACAACTGTGAAGAGAAAAAAGAGAAGATGATTGTATTAGTGTGGGATGGGAGAGGCAGCGGATAGGCCCTGTGTTCTCAAATCCAGGAAATGTTACAAAGCAATGGGCAGCACAGCGATGTGGTGGTTAGCACTTTTGCCTCAAAACAAGGTCCTGGGTTCAAATCCAAGTTTAATGTTGTCCTTTGTCTGAGTTCTCTCTGGGTACTCTGGCTTCCTCTCATAGTCCAAAGAGGTTAATTCTGATTCTGTAGGTATGAGTGTGAATAGCTGTCTGTCTCTGTGTGTTAGGCCCTGTGACAGATTGGCAACCTCTCCAGGGTGAACCCTCCCTCTCACACTATGATAGCTGGGATAGGCTCCAGCTCCACCGTGACCCTGAAGTGGATAAGTGGAAGAAGATGGATGGATATAAGGCAATGACTCTAAATCATGGTGTCAGTGGAAGCCTGGGGCTTTCTATTTTTGTAAGGCCAAAAATCCTTTCTGAATAATGAAAGAAATGACAGAATAAAACGCTAAAGTCAAGATGCTTAGTGTGTTATAACTCAATAGTGTTTAAAAATGTGTCGGTTTCATTTATCTTCATCACACATTTAAACACGAAAATAGCATTTTTGGGCCTTCATATACCTGATGAAGGTCAGATGGAAACATAAATGTACCAGGGTGCAGTGTGCAGCAGTTCTATGTAACTCTTTTTTTAGAGCCTCTGTAATATGATTGGGTTCTCTGCCACATGTAGCAACAAAACAACTGCAAAGCTTGTGTACAGACAAAAAAAAAATCATCCACACAAAAGAATGCAGGTCTTGTACTTCCTGAGGGGAGGTCCACTGTAAACAATGATGTTGTGATGTGTGAACATTCTATATAAAACCACCAGGAAACGAAACAATACTATCAGCCTTTTTTTTACACTGATGAAAATACTAAACATGTGATAAACAAAATAAACTGCTCATTATCACACCTTTGAAATGATTGTGACATTTCACCAATCCAGAGGTTAGTCGGGGTAAAACACAGTCAGGGCTGTGATATGAAACAAACCGCTGAGAGCACTGAGGTAACCAGGCTTTACTCGGTTTATTCCCCTGTCCTTCGACAAACGGAAAAAAGAGCCGAACTTTGTCCCTGACGACATCACGCTGCTCCGGGCTGCAGGAAGCTGATAACAGGCTTCATCAAAACCTGAATCGACAGTTTAAGGCCGCCTTGCCCTTCCTGTTTCGGCCGTGTACACAGAAGATGGTTGGAGCATAGAGAGAGAGAGGGAGAGAGAGAGAGAGAGAGAGCCCTCGCCTCCGGCAGATGCCCTATTCATCCCACAGAGGATACTTTGTTACATCTAAATGGCCTTTTGGCTTATACAGGCCTGGGATGTTAATGTGCCACAGGAGCTGATATCACGATCAAAGAAAGGCATTCTGGATCCATCTGAGAAGATAAACACTGACCCGAGTCTGGAGTCTGGTACCGCTTCAGACAATCCACCAGGCCCACTGCCTGACATGACAACAAAAGACATTAAGCTGCTGCATTTACAGTGCCAATAAGACTGTCTGAGGACCATCCTGATCTGGCGATGAAGCGTATTGATCAGTAAGAGGTAGAGGCTAATAGGCCTTCAATCAGCCTCATGAACAGGATTGAGAAAAAAATTAAATATGATCCAGTAAAGGTGGAAATTCTCCAACGTGCAATCATGCTATGCTCGGTTATTTATATATTTTTAAAAAGCTGAGCACGCGCAGGGTGTTGCGTCCTTTACCTATAAATATAACTGCGGGCGCCGTAATGTCACAATGACAGCATTATATTGTAATAACACGAACCGACTATCATCCGGGCAGTTTCCCAGAAAAAACTCCGTTTCCTTTAAAAAAAAATGCACACAGCTGCTCACAGCACAGACACAGTAAGACATAAAGCATTCATAAAGCTCTGCTTAGTCGATGCGAGCCTGTGTAAAGGGGAATGCAGTCATCTTTTTTTTCTTTTTTTTCTTTTTCTTTTCTTTCTTTTCTTTCTTTTTCTTTTTTACCTTTGAACAAGAAATCGTATTCATCGTCTCGGTTCCCCATTCTAGACGAGGCCGCTGCAGCGCTTGTCTCCGGAAGAGGATGTGTGGAAAGTATGGGTATGAATTTTCGCTATATGCCAGAAAAATATGGTAAAGGTTTGTACTCAGACTCTGCGCCAGTGTTGGCTGTCAAGGCGAGCTGACCGCAGAAGGGGAGAGCTCCCAACTCTGCAGAGGGAGGGGAGGAGTCCCTGCAGTTCGCATAGTTTCCTCCGGGGGGCGAGCTTTACTGGTATGCCAGCAGATATCTACCATTCATCTGGTCCCCACATTCAGAGGAGTGTTTAATTCTGAATGAATAACAAGGTCAAGGCACGTTAAATTATCTTTAGACATTATGCTAACATTATGTGGCGCGTGTGAGAGTGTGTGTGCAAAACAGGGGTACTATTCACAGCACACAATAATATAATTAAGGCCAACAATACATTACTGGCTACTGAAACATTTTAGGAGATTCGAAAGCTAAATTTTAGAAAACGTTATGCTGCATAGAGAGAGAAAAAAGTGAGAAAATGGGGACTGTGCATTTACATAAAATTACCTAAAAGCCAATGTAGATAAAAATAGATATTGTAGATAATATGATATCTCATTTGCATAAAAGAGAAATGTGATAAGATGTGTATTTTTTAAATAAAATGTTTATTTTATGTAATTGTTTATTATTGTTGTGTTCTGTGTCTTTAGATATTTTTGTAGACATCTGCACATATTCTTCAGTGGTGATTACACGTCGCATACATTGGTGTGCTTTCGCATTAAACCCATTTAGACCCTATGAGTCCGTGGCAAATATTTTTAGTTTTAACTACCAGTAAAATGTGTCTTTAAAAACACAAATTATTAGATTTTCCTCTAAAAACATAATTAATAGTTGGGGGGGGGGGGGTATTTTTTTGAGTGGCTTTCCCTTTAATGTCCTTCTGACACTTGGCCCCGCCCCGCCCACCAACTCTGCTCCAATTGGTCGAGCACAGCGTCAGCTGCCGCAGCAGGAACGCACGTGCTTCTCCGCGCATTTCAAGATCAAGATGGCAGCCTCCGTATGTCGGTGCTACGAGGTTAGTGAGATTCATGTCCTTCGTTGCAGTCTCCGAGCCTCGGGCCCGCTCTCTGGTTAAGGGAATAAACTCGCAAGGCTTCGCCATCAGTCTCTTTATGCCCGTGACGCGTACGCGCTTTAGAGTGTGTGCACTCTGGTGTGTTTTACGCAACTTGAACGCGAGATGTCCGTTAGAAAGGGCCTTGTTTCATCAGAGGCACGGCAGAGGTTTACTAATGTTATTTAATTCCTGGGGTCTTAAAATCATAGCATTGTATTGACTCAGGTTTTGACTCTGTGTGTCTGTGCTTGAGTGGCACATTTCATTTAAAATGCGACTTTTAGAAGCCTGCATGCAGTCAGGTACTAGAGCAAATATGATCAGTGACCTCGCTGCTATAAAACCACGAAAGCTGTTACAGTTTTAATTAGAGCAGCGGTGACCACTTGTTTTAGCTTCTGTCTCCTGACAAATAACCGAACCATCCTTTCAATATAAATAACTTGATCACGCTTTATTTTACACAGACAGCGAATATGGTGCGTTCGTCGTTTTTAGAAAGGGTCGAAAATTGTAATACCGTGTGTATGCCATTGTTATAAGCAGAGGATAAAACGCACCAAAACAGATCATTGCTGCCACAGCATGTTTCACCTAATTTCTCATGTTTAAATGTACAACCATCAAAAAAAGTTATCAAATAAAGGACAGATATTAGCAATTAGAGGGGAAATCTATTAAGACTGGATCATGAATTTTGAATTTGTCCTGTGATTTTGTCCTGGTCAGGATGAAAATATCCCACTTAGGGCAGAAGACATTTATTTATTTATTGACAGGATGATGATGTGCTGCATTAGTCACAGTCACCAGGTTTTAAGCACACTCATGGAACATGTTAGAGCTTCACCAAATGAAGGGATATATTTTAGAAGTATGGTATTACGTGCCGGTTTACCTCCCAGCTAACTATGACTGACTGATTCTGTGTGTCTGTTGCAGCTGATTGGCAGAAATGCCTTGGCTCTCAGCTCCCGGACTCTGGTCTCCTCAGTGTGGAGGGGAGATCATTACAGGTTGCAGAGGAGCCCAGGTGCAGCTGTGCAGGTACCCAACAACACCTCCCATTCACCCTCAAGATACTCATTTATTAAATCACTGCTAATGTAGAGTTGTGCCCGTTAATTTAAACAGTTCTTTTAACTTAAAGTTCTGGGATTACTTATCTTTATGCCCTTTTTTAGTTTAAGGTTTTATGAAAAGCAATGCATAGGTTCTGTTTTCTTCTTCTTCTTCTCTTTTTTCATTGTTCCAGTCGCAGCATGTGCTTAATCTGTTCAATCTCTTGGTGCACGTGTTTGTCCAGCTAAAGTCCTTCTCTGTGTTTGTTATCAGGTGCGATATGCCTCAGGACGGAAAGGTTTTCTGGGAGAGTTTGTTGATAACCTTCGTCAGGAGTTCAGTAAGAATCAGGAGATGAAGGAAAACATAAAGAAGTTCAGAGAAGAGGCCAAAAGGCTCGAGGAGTCCGACGCCCTTCAGCAGGCCCGCAGAAAATATGTAAGAACATTAGCTGGTTTGATTTATATTATATATAAAGTTAAACATCATCAAGCCTATTATATTTAATTAGTTTTCTAGAATTTTAATGTTGTTTTTAAAAAATTTCTGATCAGAAATCGATAGAGGCAGAGACAGTGAAGACATCAGAGGTGTTTAAGAAGACCTTGGGCTCTCTATCAGAGACCGTTAAGGAGGTAAGGCCAACCTGATTGACAGCCCCAACATGAAAATATAATAATTTAATTTGGAATCGCACACTAAGAGTTCACATTAAGTTGTAATGTTGTTAAAAATGCTTTCCAATTAAAAAAAAAACATTACGTGGACATCATTAATAAAATGAAACCTGCTGTGTGCTTGCGTGCCATTTGGATCAAAGAGTCTCGAGGAAGTGAGTCGTAGTGACATCGGGAAGAAGATCAAGGAAGGTGTGGAGGAGGCCACCAAGACAGCCAGAGGCTCTGCAGAGTCTTTATCCAAGGGAGGAGAAAAACTGGGCCGGACCAACGCGTTCAAGGCCATCTCACAGGTCAGAAAACGAAACGAGACGTCTATAGATGTCCAAATTAATGCCTCTCATCTTCATCTTTTGTACGTTGTCGTTGGTATCCAGGTGTCTGCCAGACTTTATAGATGTTTTGACTACAGCAGGGGAGAAAATGGAAGATTTTGGCAATTAGCATTTAGCCGTTAACACATCTTTCTTCACAGGAACATAAGGGCAGATTTCAGACACCAGTCAGTTGTTGGTTAATTCAGGTCATATTTGGCAAATAGTTGTTACGTTCTGGGCTTTTTGTTACTGCTTTCTTTAGAAACTGTTTCTTTAGAAGCAGCTTAAACTTTTAAAATTTAAAATTTACTTTTGGATGTCATTAAGATTTTGGTTTAGACTCTGATTATGTTTATAATTAAAAAGTGCGAACTCTCTGCAGGGTGTAGAATCCATGAAGAAGGAGATAGATGTCGGTGACGCCGGCCCTTACAGGGCTCCTTCTCAGCTGAGGAAGAGGAGCGATTTCTCATCTAAAAGTGCAGATGACGACACCAGAGTGTTCGAGGCCAACGAGTGAGTAAATGTTAGATCTCAAAACCAGTCCAATGACACAAGCTGTTGTACACCCACCTCTCTGATGCGGCGAATTATCTCCATTTTTAAATCTCAGAGAGGCCATGGGTGTCGTTCTTCACAAGGATTCAAAGTGGTCCCAGCAGTGGAAGGACTTCAAGGACAACAACGTAGTTTTTAACAGTAAGAAATATGTAATTTCTCTTTATGGCAGCAGGGGGCAGTAGAATGTTTACTGTAGATTCAATGATCGGCTAATAATGAAGTGCAGTCATGAGCTGTTTGCACAGGTGCAGAATGTACCTGCCGTAATCAGTGGAGACATGTCTAACCTGTTCAACCTCCATTTTTGTTTCATTCAGGAATCTTCGAGATGAAGATGAAATATGATGAAAGTGACAATGCCCTCATCAGAGCATCCAGAGCTCTAACTGACAGAGTCACTGACTTCCTAGGTAATGCTCCACCACATTCAATCCTGAATTTGGAGTTCCTTTTCTCTGTAAAAGCCTTTTATCTGATTGTTCTCGCCAGACCTCAAATCTTGTTCTTCTTATTTTAAAAAAAAATAAAAATCCTTTTTTATCCCAAAACCTATTAATCTTCTGATTAGTCAGGAATACTATTAACTACGTGCTCCATGGTACTGACAGATCTTCTAGATATTTGATGATGTTCACCAGCTTCGACGTTACACATTTAATTTGTGGTACTGAGTGTTGTTGCTGCTTCTGATTTTAGCCTTTGTTTCCTAGGTGGTCTCTTCTCTAAGACGGAAATGTCCGAGGTGCTGACAGAGATCCTGAAGGCAGACCCCAGCTTTGACAAAGATTCTTTCCTCAAACAGTGTGAGAAAGACATCATCCCCAACATACTGGAGGTAAACGGGTTCCTCCAGCCTCTGTCTGTGGCTGTCTTCACTCTCGCTGTTTCCGTTAATGCTTTTCTCTGTGGAGGTTAGGAAGAGACTTGATGAAAGTCTTGGTTCATTTAGCCTGAGTTTTCACTCTAGTTTGGATCAGATCCAGTAATGAATTTCCTGTCCTCTGTTTGAGTTCAGCTGTTAGATTACTGAGTTTAAACCAAGTTCAGCAGCTAAATACATCATTCAGATAACTGAGGGGATCCAAGAGCTTATGATACAGTTCTGTAAGTCGTGCATGCTTGTTATGTAAAAAAGATAAAATGAAATAAAATGCTGTTTATGATTATATCAGGAGGAGAGCACTGAGTGTAGTTGAAGCCTTGGTTTAGAGTAGCAGAAAATGATCTCAACATGTTCTGATTTTGAATGAATTCACTAAAGTTTACTGTGCTCGGTTAAATATGAGATGTGGGATTTGCTAAAATAATTTGAGCATCCCGTCTAAAAGTCACAAGAATACCTGTGAGATTTGTTTATGTTTTTAAAGCTATAATTCGGTATCTTTGTCCTTTCTGCAGGCGATCATCCGTGGCGAGCTGGAGGTATTAAAGGACTGGTGCTATGAAGCTGTGAGTTATTAAACACCACTCGGTAACAAAAGCAGTTTCTACAGGTGTTGACATAATACAGGGGACATATGTGAAGAAGAAGAGCTTATTACGTTGTGATGTCTACAAAAAGACACAATCCTACTTTTTAGTAATTGCATTTTAACTGGCATACAGTATGTGGGAAGCATGTTTTAATGCTAGATGTGTGTTACGTGTATTTGTACTCAGACCTACAGTCAGCTTGCCCACCCCATCCAGCAGGCCCGAGCTCTGGGGCTTCTCTTCCAGTCTAAAGTACTCGACATCGATAACTTAGATGTAAGTGCTCTCCCTGATGCTCGGTAACCATCATGCAGCTTGTATTACAAAGCTCTTTCCCTCTTTTCTGCTTTTCCCTTTCTCCTTTCATTTGTCTGTTCATTTTGTAACCCTGTGTTTCAGCTGGCGATGGGTAAGATGATGGATCAGGGCCCTGTGCTGATCATCACCTTCCAGGCTCAGGTTGTCATGGTGATTCGCAGCCCCAAAGGAGATATTGTGGAAGGAGATCCGGTCAGTCAACTCACAATCACTGTGCTAGAATAGGGAATCCAATGGATACCATCAAAGCTTCCTCAAGGAAGTAAACAACACTAAAAGGCTGAAATCAGATCAGTGGTCTATAACAGAGGCCCATTTTTTTTTAATGTCAATCAAATTTATGGGTTTGATGCAGCAATATTAACTTGTCTGATATCGTTGGATTTCAACTGTTAGCAATGTTAGAGGCCTCAAATATATCATCATAAGCCAGATCATTTATTAACTCACTACATTTAAAGTTTGAAGTCTGCAAAACTCTTTGGAATTCACCGTTTCTTCTCTTCTCCTCCCTCAACAGGAGAAGGTGATGAGGATGATGTATGTGTGGGCGTTGTGTCGGGACCAAGAGGAGCTGAACCCCAGTGCTGCCTGGAGGCTCCTGGACATCTCTGCCTCCAGCACAGAGCAGGTCCTCTAAGAGGAGGAGCAGGAGCACAGTGGCTCATCTGGGGGACACAAACTGAGATACAAACACATACCTGGAATAGCTGCACATCCTTTATACATTAAGTTGAACAAAGAGAGAAGAGGGAAACCCTGCTGCTGTGTGAGAGAGTACCATTTCCCCATTTGTACCCAGAGGATTTATGTGCAAGCGTGCATATTTGACCACCCTCTGACAATTAGCTTTGGAGATAGTTTATGACACATTCAGTTAAGTTTGTCTGTGCAGTCTTCTGTACTGGTACGCTCAGTGTTTTGGATTGCCTGGAGTATATATATATATACTGCATAACTAATTAATTTCAGCGTGGATGGACTTGCATCTTCACCAGGAGCCTGCATTGTTTCATCTAAGCTGCATAGCTCATCAATACTGGACGGCTGGTGGGCAGATTGTAAATAATCCTGTTATGACAGTGGAGGAAAATGGACATGCAGTCTGTGATATCTGTTGGTCTTTAGGGGGATGTTTTATACCTAAATTACATTAATCCTGGTTAAATAATGGAGCTGGAAGATGAAATTGTTGACTGTGGTGGGGACCTTTGAATCATCTGTGCACAGGAGACACTTTAATAGAGCAGCTTCAGTTTTACTTTTGTGCCCTCGGTGAATGGATTTGGGCACAATGTTGAGACTAGTGCATTATGGGTACTGTAGTGCATGTTAAAAGCATAAAAATATGCTTCAGTTTTTGCAGCAGATGAACCACAGCTGCCTCCTGTGTAGCATCAACAGCATTGAACAAGCAGCGACCAACTGAGCTGAGTTTGACAGAGAGAGTATTTTTTTCTCAGTCAAAGCAAACCAGCCTTTAAAGAATGGGGTTTTTTTTTAGGGCCTAATATTAAAATATGAATTTTCAAAGTCACCGTGAAAGAACGGATGAGAGCTGCAAGGGCTTTAATGTTCTTCAGTGTCAGTGTTTGAAGGGCTACTGACGACCAGAAAATTTAAACTAAATTTTCAGATCCTTCAGCGCTCACTTTGTTGGTTTCTGCTTTGCTCCTGCTGGTTTTTACATAAGAGTAATGGTGAAATGAAAAAGTAAAACAAGGATAAAAACATACGACGTCCACCCTGTCATGCCGAGACAAGACTACAGTTTACTGGGACTTGAAATCAAATTGAGAAATCGAGGAGATAAAGCTCCCAGTGGGACTCGTATCTACTTATTAGTGTAAGCTTATATTCAACGTCATCATGCTTGTGAGCCGAAATGGGACCACCTTACTTTTTCCAGTCATTGAGGCAGCTTTGATGTTTGAGGAATCGTTGCACATTTTTCAGCTGAGCTGTTTGGTTTACATTTACGTGGCTTTGCGAGACATAAATGATGACGATGATTGACACGTATAGATATCGTTGTTCATGTAAGTAAAGATTACACACATTCTGATCGTACTGTAACGTTACAGCTTCATTCAGTTCATAATGAATGTCTTTAAGCTTCATGTTGTACCGCCTCTGTAAAGACGCTCCGAGTTTGTGGATGTGTGTGTTCTTTAAGCACAGCACTTTCCATTAAAGGTCAAACCGCACGAGGCGGTTTATTGCAATGTCCGAAAGTCATGGATGTGTCTGATGGCCACACCGTGCTCGCCTTCTGCTTCTCATGAGTCTTGGTTGTGTAATCCATCACATGGTTGCGAAGAAACATGTGACAGTTGTGTTGGAGTCATTCCTGGTGATTAAAACAACACACTCGCCATAAAACATGCACTTTTATTTATGAGGACGACGGGTGAGAGGACTCGTATTTAAACGTTATTTTTTTATTGAGTATGCGTCTTTCTTTCTGAACTGAAGCCATGCTGTTTTGGACTCTGCTGCCACCACCAGTCAAAATGTGATTACAACAAGACACAACTGTTTCTCATGATCCCACATTAAATGCCAAAATGTCCCAGGGGAGAAGTTTCTGTGATTTGGAGAAACTTATTTTTTTGCCTGACAGATAGTGATGTTTGCATCTTGAGTTTGTTCTATGCAAACCTTTAACGGCAGTAATGATCACTCAAGGTTTGAGGCGCCACAGGCAGGACCTCAGTTTCAGTCATGTTGTGTTGCTGTAAAAACTGTCCTTGTACATACTGTTTTTATTGGATCAGAATAAAGAGAAATTCTAATAGTTCAAGTCAGACTAGATTGCTTTACAGCGAATGACAGCAGACCCACGATGTATTCAGATCTCCTTTATTTCTCTCTGTGTGTCAGTCAGCAGAATAAAGAGTGCTGTATTATGATTTGTTTCATCCAGCCTCTCCCCGAGTCAGCACATCTGAATACTGTGTGTTTGTCCTCGAATGAGTAAATTAAAGTCTGCGCATTATGTGTGTCTGCTTTCTCATTTTAAAAACTGACCCGCTTTGATAGATGCCTATTGATACTGGTTGATAAACCTATAGATTTGGGTAATACAGGGCTGATAGATTAGCTTCTACCCCGGGGTCAATATATCAGGCTGGCGGGGGGCTGATCCCTCAGCTGTCTGTTGTGATGTACGAGTATGGATGTCCTCATATCAACTAACCTCTTTCAGTTCTTTGGAGTCTCCTTGCTTGTCTGACTGCAGCTGAAGCCTACGAGGGAACGAATAACCATACGTGAAACGTCAGAATTATTAATGTATGGTGCCATTATCAGGTTTATTATGTTCCTACAGTTAGGTTTGTACGTTTTTGGACGCTGTACACCAGCACAGTGGGTTTTAAACCTACATGTGACTGAAGTGCAAAATAAAAGAAACATCTTCCATGAACTGTTTAGGATCTGCAGCCATTTTCATACACAGTCCCAAATTTTCAGGGGCTCAAAATTAACTGGACAAACTAACAATCTTAAATATATGGATTTTTCTAATACTTTGACTGGAAAGTATTTAACTTTGACTTTGATTTTCATCCATGATTACCTGAAGTCTGCCTGGATCTGAGGAGCATAGCCTTGTACACGTTGCAGTTCATCCTGCTGCTCCTATCAGCAGTCACATGAAGTGTTTATGTGACTCTGGCGGCCGTACATGCCAACATTCCTTCATTCATGGAGGCATCGTTTAACGATGCTATGCCTACCTTCTTGAGAGAGTTCATGACTTGGCTAAATGATGTGAAGTTGTTTTTCTTACCCATGGAAATTACATTATCACACACTTTAGTCGTCTCCTGTGAGCTTTCAGGCCTGTTGGTGTTGCAGTTTATTCCATCTTTTTAAGAATGAGCCAGATTGTAGATTTGGCCACTCTTACTCCACTCCTTGCTCTCTCTGAGGTTTATTTTGGCTTCCTTAGCTTGCATCACCTTTGGGCCTCATATTGACAGATCTGGGTCATTTTCTAAGTTGAGCTCTTGGAAAACGACCCAGATCTTTCACCCGTCAGATTCATCAGTAAGAAGGGGAAAGGACACACCTGGTCATGAAACTGCTCGTCCTTATTGCCCTCATACGTTTGAGCCTCTGAAAACAGACTGTGTGAAGTACTTTTGTTGAGCCCCATGAGTTAAAGCTGAAATCTACACTTCAGTCACAGCTCGATTGTTTGACTTAAAATCCACGGTGTTGGTCTACAGAGGCAAAATTGGAAAAACTGTGTCATTCTCCAAATACTTGGATTTAACTGTATGACATGCACTTTCTGTCAATGTGGAGCATGAGTGAAGAGTAAAGCCCTCACTATACTGAGAGTATCTTACTGGGAAAAGTCCCTCCAAGCAACAACACACTTACTGCACTCAAGTGAATGGGATTAAATGCAACAACACAATCACCTCAGAAAGGAAAAGGGTCATGGAGGCAGAGCAGAGCTTTCTTTTAACATCGTCTTGGTGACACACTACCATGCATACATCAAGCTGTAATCTAGTCTACGTTATAACAGCGTTATCATAATGCAGGCAGCCCTTCAGGCATTGCCCTAACAATGGCTAAACAATTTCGTTTTTTGGTTTAGGTTTATTTTATTGAGGGCGTTTATATGGTTTGATCTCAAACTTTTAAATGAGCGCCAGCATAGAGACAGAGGCAGTGTTTTTAGTGTTAGCATATGGCTTCTTCTTTGCATGATAGAGCTTTAACCTGGATTTGAGGATGGCACGTTGAAGTGTGTTTACAGAGAGTGATTTCTGGACATGTTCCTGAGCCCATGCTGTGATTTTCATAACAGAGTCATGTCTGTTTTTAATGCAGTGCCGCCTGAGGACCAAAAGATCTTGTTGCGCCGTTCCAACTTAAAAAAAAACAAAACAGAAACGTTACTGACATCAAATTTAAAATGAGCTAATATTTGTAATAAAAAATTGCAATAAAAATATCTTATATTTATATATTGTAAAAAAAAAAAAAAGACTATTCGAACATTTGATATGTTTTCTATGTTTTGTTGTGAACAAATACGGGTTTGTGAGATTTGCATTCTGGTTCGTAGATTTAGAGTTGTATAGATAGGAAGGGCAGCAAAGTATAAACACTGAGTTTCATCATCTTGTGGGTTGGAGACTCTTACCATTTATGACCACAGTGGGTGCACTGCTGGAGCACTGCTCATTGTTATGAGATTATGATCCCCTTCAGGGCAGTGTTACAATCCACCGACTATTAATTAAACCTACTGGGAGATCCCATGCAGCCTCAGGCAGGGGAGATGTGGCTGTGTATGGACTACAGTCTGCAGCAGTGTTTGTAGAGTTTTAATTGTGTCAATTAATTACTTCTCACAGTGAGTTCGGAGCTTATAGCCACAGGCACAATCAGGTAGCCCCGCTTGTTTTGCTCCACTTCTTGATCATGTAATTTTTTGCAGGTCAGCAAAACCTGGAGTGCAACCTGACATCAAATTTAAATGTCGTCTTACACAATATAACAAAGGAATGGGTTTAAAAAAAACAGCAGACTCTCATGGTATTAATGAATACACCCTGTATTTAAAAAAAACTCTGTCAATGCTAATATTTTAATACAGGAAACATATTTTTATTAAAGAAGGAATACCAGTTATCCATGAGGCAAACCCTACTTATAGTCTTATTGTCCAAAACAGACAATGTGTTCATCTGCAGTTTTTGTACATTTGCACAGATCTCTTAACATCACTTAAAAGAAATCTAATCTAGCTTCATAACCCATGTTTTGTTGAATAAGAGCTTTAATCAGAATATTAGACATAAAGAATAGAATAGAAAAGAACAGGCCAGAAGATGAAGCATTTACTGTGATGTTGAGAAATATATCATTAGGTTTGGTCAACTGTTCTGTACAGTGAGCTACATAAAAACAGAAACGGGGAGACACGCACACTCACACAATGAGGGCATAATAGCACTTAAATTGAACATATACCCCAAGGAATAGCTGTTGCACTTAAAATGACTTGTTTTTTCCTGATTTACAGGAGTTGAGCCTCCTGACATCCCAGTGGAAGAAAACTAAAAGTTTCTCTGAGGTTGCTAAAACACCAAAATCCCCACAAAATCCACAGAAGGTATGTGGTCAGTGGTGGATCTATGTTTGTCTTTACTCCTCTTATTCCCCGCAGGATAATATTCAATAAAATGTCATCGTGTTTGTTGGTGGTTCAGCCAGACACACTTGTCTCAGGTGCATTTTTAGTTGTTAAAAAAAAGGAAACAAAGAAATGTAAATCTATGAAAGTGAAATATTTGCTGTCAGCTGTCTAACACAAGTCTTCTCTGTGCAGCTGCTTTTATTTGCATGGCATGGAGCATTAAGGTAATTTGATCATTTAAATTTCAAGGAAAACAACAACAGAACAGGCGTTTGTTCCATAATGGCTGTGTGGCTATCAGGATCCCTGACTGTCCCCACGTCATGCACTCCTCTTATATAATTCAAAAGCCACATGTTGTGATTTACTCATCCAAACGAAAACAGTGTGTGTGTGTGTGTGTGTGTGTGTGTGTGTGTGCATGGCACAAGGGCAGTCGTTGGTGGGCGGAGAGGGAGGGAGGTGGGGCGGATCCGTGAAACTGAAGAGACCTTAAAGCCCTCAGAGAAAGCAGAGTTCAGTCTTGAATCTGTGCGTGCAGCGTGAGTGAGCACAAGTGAGCTGTCCAAGGTGCTGAAGGGCTACTGCTGCATCATCATCATCATCACCATTATTATTACACAGTCCTCACCTCAAGGTAAGTTCTAATCTCTTCTGATCGTCCTCCAGTTTGTGTTTCATGACAATGGTGACTGTGCTTGCTTCGTTAAACTTTTGTTTGTAGGAGTTATTGTGGTCCTGCATGCCTAACTTTTTAAATGGCAACGTCTGCGAGCTGTCAGAAACAGTAGCAGGTGTGATTTGTGAGTTCTTGTGTAACTTTATGACACCCTTTAAAACATGTTCAATCCTCTCTGTGCTACTTCTATCAATAATGTTTTAAAGGAACTATTAAGAGCGGGGCACCTTAACACCTCACATGTGATACAAAGATACAAACCATAATCCAGGCGATTTTCATCTTGTGATATATTCTACAAAAACATATATAAAAATATATTTATGAAGGAAGTTAATTCTTTCACTTCTCAACAAGCCTGGAAAATTAGAGCTTTTTAAACCACTGCAATGTTCATCTTACGTCTTTGATTTTAAAAATCTGTGAAGTGTTTAAAAGTTACAGCGTGTTTTAAAAGAAGTTACATTCAAAAAATCCTTCACTGAAATTCAGTTAAAAACTTCTAATTTCGCTCTGTTTTATAATAAAAGAGTGGGAAAATTGCAATTTTTTAAATTCATTTAAATAATTTGTGTTTTAATATCCATTAAAAATTGTTACCTTTTAATGGAGAACAAAAAAATAATTGCATAAGAGGCCGAATATGAAGTTGTTTTAGGGCTTTAATCATCTTAATGACACCAAACACAAGTTTAACAGCAACGTGCTCATTGTTGGGTGGAGATTGCTTCCCCTTTTCACAGTCTGACAGTCCAACTTTAAGGATTTACTTTAGTTTTCAGACAATATCCGTTTCATTTGTAGAAGTCCTTGACATTTTCAAAGCTGCTGTCATAATCCAGAGCCCTAAATTGGAGGTATTACAGGTATTAAAGGCACGAGGAATGCCATATGTCACTCAGTGTGTCGTCAGATTTCACTGGCACAGCTGCTTAGTGCTTTCATCAATCTCTTTTTT